AGACAAGATTGTCATGAGAAACATTTACAAGACAAGATTGTCATGAGAAACATTTACAAGACAAGATTGTCATGAGAAACATTTACAAGACAAGATTGTCATGAGAAACATTAACAAGACAAGATTGTCATGAGAAACATTAACAAGACAAGATTGTCATGAGAAACATTAACAAGACAAGATTGTCAAGAGAAACATTAACAAGACAAGATTGTCATGAGAAACATTAACAAGACAAGATTGTCATGAGAAACATTAACAAGACAAGATTGTCATGAGAAACATTAACAAGACAAGATTGTCATGAGAAACATTAACAAGACAAGATTGTCATGAGAAACATTAACAAGACAAGATTGTCATGAGAAACATTAACAAGACAAGATTGTCATGAGAAACATTAACAAGACAAGATTGTCATGAGAAACATTAACAAGACAAGATTGTCATGAGAAACATTAACAAGACAAGATTGTCATGAGAAACATTAACAAGACAAGATTGTCATGAGAAACATTAACAAGACAAGTGCAGAATACACTGCTTTCCTCTCCTATTCACAAATCTACTCTCCAACTTTGTCTCACAAATTACTGATGGCCAGATCAACGCTCAAAACTATTGAGTCTAATCCTGAACCAATTAATTCTATCCTTGGCTTTGTCTATAACAACTTTGGCCAGCAATGTACAGAAAAATCAACACTAATAAAGCAGAGTGCACTATTCTCAACAAATGAACTTTACCTGTAATACATTTCTGTTTCTCTTCTCAGATGTAAGATAAAGAATAATACATAATGTACAAATATTCCTTGTCATTTTAGAATTCTCCTCTTTGTTTTGTTTTTTCCTTCCATCTCAAGAATTGTGCAGTTAAGTGGACTGCATTGCTCATTTATTTTCCTATGGTCATATACACATATTAAACAATGTTTTACAACAAACGCAAATTCTACCAATACTTGACCACAGCGACACACTGAAAACTTGCTTGTTCACACAGCACACGTCTTTGTTGTGGGTAAATAATCCTTTGTAGCATCTACTGAATATGTGTCACGACGCGGTGGAATCAGGCGCTCATCAGTTTTTGGGCGTGTCGAGTTAATGGTATCATCTAGAAGTCAAGATATTTTTGATGGAAGGAGGTGGGGTCGCCTGTTTTAAGTGATAAAAGTCGCGAGAAAATGGCTGCCAAATTTGGGTAATTTCAATAGCTTGATAGTCCTTTAAAACTGAAAAATTACATATTTTGTGCCTTTAATCAACCTTTTCTGTCAAATTTACATGGAAATGGTTTTTTTATATTGAGACATAAAAGGTGTTGAGAGACAAAAAGAAAAAATTAGCAAAAATTTGACAAACAGAAGGGAAAATGACGATATCTTCAATTTCATTATTTTGATGAGCGCTTGATTTTACCACGATGTCCCACATATATTGCTAATAAACCAGTCCGGTTTGAGTACCAGCCACATGCACATAACATGAATACATGTGCATACAGACATCCCACCCTCCCACACACACAAACACATACACACACATAGACCCCCCCTCCCACACACAAACACATACACACACATAGACCCCCCTCCCCCACACACAAACACATGTATGACACATAGTGTCGCGTGGTGGGCCATATATATAACATGTACATACACACGTATAGACAAAATCCTCATGGTAGGACACACATATATGTACATACACACGTATACACAAAAGCCTCGTGGTGGGCTATATATATAACATGTACATACACACGTATAGACAAAAGCCTCGTGGTGGGCTATATATATAACATGTACATACACACGTATAGACAAAAGCCTCGTGGTGGGCTATATATATAACATGTACATACACACGTATAGACAAAAGCCTCAAGGTGGGCTATATATATAACATGTACATACACACGTATAGACAAAAGCCTCGTGGTGGGCTATATATATAACATGTACATACACACGTATAGACAAAAGCCTCGTGGTGGGCTATATATATAACATGTACATACACACGTATACACAAACGCTGAGCCAGAACAGTGTACAGAAGTCACACGGAGGCACATAGACTCTCCAGCTCACAGTACAGTAAACACGGTCATGTGAGTTCACAATGACGGCTTGTCACAAAACTTTACTTTTGTCAGTGTAACAATGTGTCAGCCGGTGTGGCTTTGATGAGGTGCACAATACACTTAATTCTAGCTTCCCTAAATGTAAGACATACATAGTAGGCTTTTTCCTTTAAGAAATAAAAAATTGAACAACATCATCACTTTTGGTGGCTGCAACACAATTATAGCTACACAAAGCCAGATAGAAATTGTAAAAAGTCAAATGTTTTTTGCTTTTTTTTGGTATAAGACTATAAAAGTATTTAGAGAACACTATTTCAAGTTTTTCAAGACGTGAGCGATTGGCATATTTGACACTTACCCTTCACAAAAGCTTCCCACAAAATGTCATATTTATAATATAATATTTTTAAAATTGATATCACATTCACTAGTTGCTTTATATTGCGTGCAATATAGCATTCCGAGTATTCCGTGCAAAGATTTGACAAGCTGTTTTCAAGCAGAGTATTAGACAGGGCATTGCAGCACAGGCAGGATGATGAAAGCCGTGATGGACCTTACAGAACATGCGTGTCGTACAGTGTGTAATACTTACTAATACAGTGTGTACATTGAGAGAGAGAGAGAGAGAGAGAGAGAGAGAGAGAGAGAGAGAGAGAGAGAGACAAACATAATAAAAACATTCCCTCCACACTATCCTCTCCCATAAGAAAGGTAAACACAAGCAGGAAGAGCCCCACCTTTTCTTTCAAAGACCCAAACTTTCAAACCTGACACTAAAACCATCTCTCTCGTCTCTTTTTGAACTTGAATGCAAAACTGAAACAATCAGAGGATTCTGCTTTGGAAAGTGTTCTGAATTCTAAACAATGAGAGCCTCAATCCTTGATTCTTAACAAGCTGTGTGGGTGGTTGGTGGGTGCTCTGGTGTGGTTTGCTCCTTCTTTCCTACCAAAGTTGACCAAACATCTATCGTCGTTATCTCTCCTCCTTCTTTTTTGTGTTTGCCGCTCTCTTGTGACACCTCTAATCTTCAGCACTTATATGACCTTATTGTGTTGCAAGTGCCGTAAAACTCTTACTAAAACAAAAACAAAGAAGCTGTCGGTCAGCTTGGTTTGATACAAACTCTTCCCCCAATACCGAACATTGAAAGCGTTGTTCTGTGGCTAAAGCTACCCTGTGCCAGTGGTGGGAGAAACTGTCAGAGAGGAGTCCGGCACTTTGTGTATAAGATGTATCTTATCTTATCTTATCTTTGTAACTGATCACACACTTCCTGGCCAGAAGTTATTTCCCCTGCATCAACACTGGGGTTTCCCACAGAGCCACACAAGTGACTGGCCCGTCTGTGGGGTTGGGCAAGTAGGAAAACCCCCACACGTCTGCTTAGTGCAAATCTCACACTCCTGATGCCTAGTTCCGATTCTTGTCACGTGCACGGTCAATTTGTTCCGTTCATCAAGGATCTAACTCCAAACTGAGACAACTTTTTAGATGATTTCTTTATCGGACAAAACTGCTTGGACAAAGAAATAGGCCCAGAACAGAAAGACAGCAGCTACATCAAGTGTGAGACAAAACAGATGGTCCAGGCAACAGATTTGTCATTTAGCGGTGACTGATTCACTGGCACAACTCACCTGTCGCTCAGTGTGTGTGAGTGAGAGTAAAGCTTGTGTACAGACCAGCCACACCTCCACCAAGCCCAGCGTTCTAAGCTCTGTCTGCCCGCTCCCGGCGTAAGCTAAGCCAAAGACTAATACAGCGCTGTGTCTGTACAGCTGTTGCTTCACTCCCAGCGTAATCTAAGCCAAAGCCAAAGACAGCGTCATGTCTCTACAGCAAGCATCAATCAAACCCTTCATGTAGCACGGCCAATTATTCTGAGTACATTCACGAGTCATCACAAGCCATTTGGAACAACATACAACAGAGGAAACAGGAGTAGACTACGAAAAGATTGAAACCAGAGGCAGAGAGTGAGAGAAAGAGGAGAGGGAGGGAGAGAAAGAGGGAGGAAAAAGAGAAAGAGAGAAGAAACTAGGAGTACCATGCACAAGCAAGCCACCAACAAAGGGCGCAGGGAACACAATCCAACAAACGGAGACTGCATCAACAACAACAAACTTCCACTTTGTAAATGCCCTATTTGATGGTGCCCATCAATAATATAAATAAACATAATTTGTATAGCGCATGTCCCCACTCAACAGCAGGCTCTATGCGCTTTACACTATATATATTACCCCAGCAGACCATAGAACACTCAGAAACATTCTCAGCTTCCCGGGAAGCATACAGGTCCGAACACAAACCACCCCCCACATGTTCATCGCACTTTGTAAGACGGCCCTAACTATTTATCTGCTAGCATGTCGCAAAGTAACATGGGGGAGATGTGTGGAAAGGGACATGAGAAAGATGAAGTTCACTTGGAACGAGCTTGAAAGGATGGCCTAGGACAGAGATAAATGGATGGAGCTTATATTTTATGGTCACTTTTAAGCACAAGGGGGCTATCCCGAAAAACGCTGTTTTGAGAAAACCGAAGGTAAAATTTTGCCCCTTGTTCAGTTTCTTTAAAAGACAAGGAGAGTTTTCTCTATAACCAAACAAATATACACACCGATGAAATTAAACTTCTCCTATAGGTAGGGCAATGCTCACTTTTGGTGTAGGTCAAGATTTCTGGAAACCCACGAAATCTGGGTTAGCCCGCTTGTCCTTAAATATGACGATATGTGGCCTATACCCTGCCAGGGGTGAAAGGCATAGATGATGATGATGATGATGATGATGATGATGATGATGTGACAAAGTACACAGAAAATTTCACTCCGGACTACAAAGTCACAGTGTGGAAAGTAAAGAAGTGAAACCAAAAACCCCAAAGCAACCCCTGTTTGTACACAAAAGCAAGTTTATTCTTGTTCTGCATGTTTGGCGCACATGAACCCACAGATCTGTCACAGTCCACTGTGAGCCAGTCATGGAAAACCCAAAGTTACAGAAAACTGATGGGGGAATTCACGGACAAAACTGACACGGCTCACTCACGCACTCACTCACTCACGCACACGCTCACCAATTGTAGAACTTAGTACAACAAGGAATGTTTAATTAATGCACAGAAGGACAGAACTGAGAAAAAAATAAAACAAAATAATGTACAGAAAGACAGAACTAAGAGAAAAAAAAACCAACGTAGAGAAGGACAGAACGAAGAGAAAAAAACAAAACAATGTACCGGAACAGAAAGACAGGACTGAGAGAGAAAACAGACAATAGCCAACACAAACAGCGAACACCCCGACCATTCCTGCGCCTTATGCTGGGGGGGGGGGGGGGGTGGGGGGGGAGAGGAGTGTCATAGCTTTCCTACCCTACAGTAAGATACAGCACAGATCATGAAACACCCCCCTTCAGATTACATCAACACACGTCATGACACGTTTTTCCGGCGCTCACAACTGCATAAGGTCATATGAGCGCCAAGGGGAGGATGTATGTCAAGAGAGCACCCGCCCACCACCCACGGCGGTCCAGGGGGAGAAAGCAAAACAATGAGATGAAGGAGAACAGCACTGAGTAAAGGGCTCTGGATTGGCAACATTCAACTATATATAAATATAAACAGAGAAACAAAGAAGTCATGGCACACCGGAGTGCACAATTCATGTCGAGTAGGGAAAGAATTGTACTTTTCTACACACTGTCTTTTCAGAACAATTTCACAAACATTTAATTAAATCTCATAAAATCTTCAATGGAATGTCATCCTCATGCTTTGTCCAGTAGGGGAATGCCAAAGTGTGATACTTGGAGAAATATACTCCCAGGTCTTAACGCTGGAAAAATATATATACTTTTTAAATAAAAGAAAAGAACGTTTTATTTTGATGGAAACAAAATAAACAAGTCACAACACAGTTCTGAGTAAAAAAAATCACGGTAGAGTATATTATATATACAAATCATAAAAAAACGAATGTCATTGCTTACTGCCATTAGTCCTCCCAACAAAAAAACAGTCTTCAAATATCCTATCAAAAAACTTTGTGGGGGAAAAAGTACAAAAAATGATGGTCTGTCAATGCGGGTCACGCAGGTTGTCATGAACAAACAAAAGTTTGTAAAAAATATATCCTTGCTAACAAACATTCATCCACACCATTGCTATCTCTGAACAATATTATTATTATTATTATGTTGTACAATAACCACCGTCAAGGTTGTCCAAACTTTCAACTAGGTACCAAATGGAAGGTAGCGCTCCAAAGCAAAAAAACTAGGAACTCTCTAAAAATGAAAACACTAAACACTGCCACGTGGACATTCACGACAAACTTCCCGACACACTCGAGGGGGTGATAAACCCGAGGTGGAGAGTTCTCCTCTCAAACGGCAGATTCACATGATGGGGGTGAGAATGTACGTTTTGCTTTTCCAGCAGACATAGGTAGGTGGGGGTGAGGGGTGGGGGGGGGACATGCTGAGGAAGGTGTACAGCCCAGCTCCTAACTGTGCCGGCCCGCTGGCCGTCTTAGCCCAGGCCGTGATCTTCAAAGAAACCCTGCGGAGTTTCCTCCTGAAGGATAGAAAAGACGAGAAAAGAAAACAAAATTATCAAATGTTCTTTTTTAGTCTTCGTAAGAGTTTTACGGCACTTGCAACACAATAAGGTCATGTAAGAGCCGAAGATTAGAGGTGTTACAAGAGAGTAACAAACATAAAACAGAAGGAGGAGAGATCAGGACGATAGATGTTTGATAGGACAGGAGCAAACCACATCAGAGCACCTGCCAACAACCCACTGACACGATAGAAGAGACCCACCACTCCCATCATTTCCCACTTGTGTGAACAGATAATGAGAAACAAGGTTCCAAACTTCCACAAGTCATTCCAAAAATCAAAGAGAGCAAAAGAGAAGATTTCTACCAAAGATGTGTACAACTCTTGGTTGGAGACACTTGCCACCACAAGTGCAGAAGGCTACCGGTGCACATGAGCTACACAAACAAGGAAAGGAATGTCAGTTCCATCAACTTCTTCCAGCAGAAACTCTTACTGCCCAGTGAGAGCGCACGCCACCCAAACTGACACTCAGCGTAAGACAGACATTCCTGGTTGGTCTATCAGCCACTACACCTCGCTCAGCGACTCGCACAAACTTGCACGACAAACACAACACACAAATGTCTGGCAGAGATTCCAAGCCCAGACAGAAACTCAGTGAAAGGAACTAGGAGAAAGATGGAAGACTTTACTGGAAATAAAATTCTCGTGATATGTTTTACAGGACAGAGCTTTACAGGACAGAGGATTACCAGAGAGAGCATTACAGGACTGAGGATTACCAGAGAGAGCTTTGCAGGACAGAGATTTACCAGAGAGAGCTTTACAGGACAGAGATTTACCAGAGAGAGCTTTGCAGGACAGAGATTTACCAGAGAGAGCTTTACAGGACAGAGATTTACCAGTGAGAGCATTACAGGACAGAGGATTACCAGAGAGAGCTTTACAGGACAGAGATTTACCAGAGAGAGCATTACAGGACAGAGGATTACCAGAGAGAGCTTTACAGGACAGAGCAACGGCTCAGAAACCTAGGACCATACATGATCAATATCGGCAAGCTGTAAACACAGTCTCATTTACCAACATCCTACACTCAACTTTTTTCTTCCACAAGTATTCATCAATCACATCTACACACTCAGACAAAACAAGCCTAACACATCCTTTCACAAATCTGCAGCATCAGCTCTGCTTCAACCCTCACTGTTTTACACACACTGAACTATTGAGGCTTCAGAACTCCTTCAACCCTCACTGTTTTACACACACTGAACTATTGAGGCTTCAGAACTCCTTCAATCCTCACTGTTTTACACACACTGAACTATTGAGGCTTCAGAACTCCTTCAACCCTCACTGTTTTACACAAACTGAACTATTGAGGCTTCAGAACTCCTTCAACCCTCACTGTTTTACACAAACTGACAAGAAAATTGAGACACCAGAACTCCTTACAAAACACTCTGGGAAAGTGAAAAAGGAACAGGGGCAAAAAAAACAACTTAGTTAGGGTCCAGGGGGTACAAAATTTCTTTAAAAATATATATAATGTGACTTCTGAATTTGAGACAAAAGAAAATCACAAGAGAGCAGCAAAGGTCACACCACTGGACTGGTGAATGTCTATTTCGGTAGAATATTGACCATGTGTTTTGTTATTTCAACCAAGTTTAGAAAACCCCAGCACTTCCGATTTCAAAGTCTATGGTTCTAAGTGTTCATGAGCCTCGTTCAATAAAAACAAATTTCTCAGTACCGTCCAAAAAGTCCTTTCAGTTCAGGTAAAAAGAAAAAGGATACGGTAGACAGAGATAGGTTTTGTACTAGGTCAGGAGCGAACAACACGCGGGAAACACACACAAATGACAGAAAATAGTTCAAGAGAGGAATAAGGCCAATGGTGGAGGGATTTCGATCAGACATAGAAATTCTTTCAAACAGGAATAACATTTCTTAGCAAATTTTTCAATTAGATCATTGTAAACCTACTTAGTTATTTTTGGGGTAGACTTTTTTCTACCACTTTCCACCAAACCCTTTGGAAAACTACAGTGGAGTCCGCTCAAAGTGCTCTCTATGGGACCAGTAGAAAGTGTTCACTTTATCCGAGGTTCAGTTGAACCATTGTGGTAGCGTGGACGCCTAGAAGAAACAGTAGCTACGCGCAGTGGTGGGTCTAGGGTGGAGGTGGGGTGGGACAACACAGCCGACGAGCCTAGACTAGAGCTCTTTCTTTCTGACTGAGATTACCGTCGCCAACGCCGAGCTGGGATTGTCTGCCGAAGCGCGAGGCAAAGAATTTTATTTTCACACAGTCCGTTCTTCGCTTTCACTCATTTTGGGCGTTCACTTTATCCGATTTCCCCATGAAACCAGTTCATTTTATCCAAATTTTTTTACTTAAACAAATAGCGTTTCAATCGAGACCACAAAATATCCTTCACTTTTACCGATTGTTCAAATAAAGCGTGCTCACTTTAGGCTGACTCCACTGTAGAGACAAGCCACGACAGGGATATAGTTTTAGTAAGAGTTTTACGGCACTTGCAACACAATAAGTTCATGTAAGTGCCGAAGAATAGATGTGTTACAAGAGAGTAACAAACACAATAAAAGAGGGGAGATAAAGACGGCAGATGTTTTATAGGAAAGAAGGAGCAAACCACACCAGAGCACCCACCAACCACCCACTTGTGTGTACGTGGTGAAACACCAAACCAATATGCCAGGATCTGGACAATAAAGATGTATCTGATCTGATCTGATCTGATCTTTTCTTCCACGCCCAGTATATCCTCCCTGCTCAAATGTTGAACACGGCTCCTGCCATGACACATGACAGCCACATTATACCACCCTTCTCTCCACGTTCACAGATCATCCCCACAAATCACAGGACAAGACAACAGGCGCTAGCATACACTCAGTGACTCAGTGTTACTATTTTATGCCCACACTGACTGAATTTAGGTCATGTAATAGGCAGACTGTTACAATCTCGCTGGTAAGGGCCACCCCCGGGCCGATTGGGATCGTGCCCCCCCTCCCCCGGGCCGAGTGGGATCCTGCCCCCGCGGCAGACAGACAGAGAAACTCCATCAAAAACTTTTTAAGTTTTAGTAAGAGTTTTACGGCACTTGCAACACAATAAGGTCATATATAAGTGCTGAAGATTAGAGGTGTTACAAGAGAGTAACAAACACAAAAAAGAATGAGGGGAGATAAGGACGATAGATGTTTGATAGGAAAGAAGGAGCAAACCACACCAGAGCACCCGCCAGCCACCAACGGACAACAGCTTAAGATTTCGCAAAATTATCAGAAAGGGAATATAAACCAGTTTGTTTTTGCATCAGTTTTGCCCCCTTTCCAACACAGAGCAGCTATTTAAGACATTACACCAATGTGCTTATTAAGTGCAACTGCAAAAAGAAGAAGAAAATCAGAGTCTGTGCCAAAGAGTAATGAACACTCCCTTAACCCTGCTATAGACAGCGAAAGATCTTGTCAGTTTTAGCGCTTAATCAGCTGCTTGCACTGTATGCTTCTCAGGAAGCTTAGAATATTTCCAAGTGTTTTCCGATCTGCTGAGGTAATGATAGAGTGTACAGCGCGGAGAGCTTGCCGCCCAGGGATTGTGTCCGCTACACATGATATTTATCATTCTATAGCGTATATTTGTTATTATTATATAAGATCACTGGCAAACAAACAGAGCAGTGTGACCCGGCAAGAAAGAAGGCTAGTGGCCTGAGTACAATTTTTGTTTGCTGTACAAGCACCCCCATGTGAGCTCCGTCCCCGCTCCCTGAGCAAACATCCTGGCACCAAATGAAACATCTTCAGACCCGCCCTCTTTCACCAAAGAAGAAATACAACTTAGACACTAACGGAAGGTCACAACAATTGTAATGTGCAAAACTGGGGCGGGGGGAAAAAACAGTCCCTGTGTATTTTAGTTTAGTTTTAGTAAGAGTTTTACGGCACTTGCAACACAATAAGGTCATATAAAAGCCGAAGATTAGAGGTGTTACAAGAGAGTAACAAACACAAAAAAGAAGAAGGAAAGATTGAGACGATAGATTTTTTTATAGGAAAGAAGGAGCAAACCACACCAGAGCACCCGCCAACCACTCACCCTGTGTATTTGTAGGAGAATTTCTGAACAAACCGAGAGTAAAAAACAACAACCAAAAAACAAAACGTAGCAAAAAACCAAACAATACAAAGACAAAGAGTTCATGGCTCGTGACGACACAGCGAGGGTGCATTCTGCAAAGACATCCACGTATGTGTCAGAGATTTATTGTACGTATATAATGACATCCCCGTAAGTGTCAGAGATTTATTGTACGTATATAATGACATCGACGTAAGTGTCAGAGAATTATTGTACGTATATAATGACATCGACGTAAGTGTCAGAGAATTATTGTAAGTCTTGTGAGCTCTTAACTACCACCCTCTCCTCCAGCCAAAACAACGGAGCGAGCCGTGAGGTCAGCGTGACCCGTGACACAGCAGTGACCTTTCAGTTTCTTAGTTTTAGTAGAGGTTTTACGGCGCTCGCAACTGAATAAGGTCATTTGAGCGCCAGAAGATTAGAGGTGTCACAAGAGAGTAACAAACATAAAAAAGAAGAAGGGGAGATAAGGACGATAGATGTTTGATAGGAAAGAAGAAGCAAACCACACCAGAGCACCCGCCAACCACCCACTTCTAGAAATCTTGACCTACACCAAAAGTGGGCATTGCCCTACCTATAGGAGAAGTTTGGTTTCATTGGTGAGTATATTTGTTATGTTATAGAGAAAACTCTCCTCTTGTCTTTTAAAGAAACTGAACAAGGGGCAAAAACTTTACCTTCGATTTTCTCAAAACAGCATTTTTCGGGATAGCCCCCTCGTGTGCTTAAAAGCAACCAAATAAGACACACACACATTGTCCGGTCAAGAGTCTAGAATAAGACAATAATATATAATGCTCATGCCCAATGCAGAAATGCAA